CCCCCCCCCCCCCCCAATTCAATCTGTGCCTCTCTCCCTTGTATCTACAGGGATGCTCATCAGTGGGTGTGTGTTCACAGAGGGAAGGATGGTGCAGTCAGTCATCAAGAATCCCTGCTGGCTGGATGGATTAACCCCTCCTACACTTTTACTGCACATGCACACATACACGTGCGCGTGAAGGTACACACATGCAGGAGATTGTTGACAAACTACACATTAAAATACCAAGAACAGATTTGAATTGTTTTATGCACTGTCAGGGAATTCCCCACGTGTGTGTGTGTACGTGTGCGTGCGTGAGTGGATGTGTGTACTCTAGTGCACACAGTCTGTGTGTGTGCACCAACCACCGGAGATGCTGCATGAGAAGCGCGCTCGCTGCGAGGAGCGATGCAGAGAGGAGTCCGTGTTTTGGTGACCATGGCAACCGGTTTGTGAGAATCACGCACACACACGCACGCACACGCACCACTCCCACCCTGAAAGTGCTGCAGTTGAGCCTGAGGAAGACAACACGGCAGAGCGTGCATGTCACCTGTGCACTTTGTGTCACGTCGCAGCCTGCTCGTGTTCCTGTCTGTGCTCGTGTAGCTGCAAAGGAAAACACGAACAACAGGTGTAAATATGACAGAACGTCGCTGGGTGAGCACGTTCTGCTCCCTCACGCTCATACTTCATCTTTTTATCCTCCTCTCTTCAAGTAAGTTATTACATATTGGCTCGTGCACAGGCCTGAGGACACCACTGTAGGGCTGGAGCGTTTGTCAGACCAGTACATGTGTACAAATACAGGTGTGTACTTATATTTTGATGTCAGTACTTTACTTAAGCCACATCTCGAATGCAGGGCTTCCTTGTAACTGAGCATTTTTACATTGTGGTATTGTTACTTTTACCCCAGTAAAGCATCTGAGTACTCCTTCCTCCACTGGCGTTGTTTTAACGTGGGGCAAATACCTGCCTGAATCCAGCCTGGGTCAAATCGACTGAGTGTTTTTCAAAGCTTCGCTACAACAGAAGGAACAGAAACAGTGACACAAAGTTGTTAAACAGCACATAGTACGTGCATGTCTGTCCTTTAAGTGTGGATGTAGACTCACACAGTGGCTCATCCTGCTCAGTAAAGACTGGCAGCACAAGGGAAACACAACACAAACACATTCAACACTAATTCATTTTTCCTTATTTCTGTGTTTCTGTGTTTCTTCTGTGCTCGGTTTGTTGACATGATGCTGATTCACTTAAAATAAACAAAAGTTCAAGTTCAAAGTATTTATTCATCATATTCACAGTTAGGAAACGTGTTTCCCTGTACAATGAAATTCTTACTTTGCCGTGCACATGAATGCCACAAAATACAAGTGAAATATAAAGTAGATAAATAAGTAACACAAACTCTAAAGCACTTTAAGCAGCAACAAATGCAGCAATATAATAAAAGAATATAATAGAGCATGTATGCTGCATGGGAGCTGCATGTGCAGTAGTCAACAGTCAATGTATTTAAACATCCATTTTTAATCAGTCAACTCTAATAAATTCAGCTGTATTTGTGTTTTCGTTCATTGTTGTTTAATTAAAATCAGTATTGAAACCGCTCCACTATGTTCAACCTAAAGCTGCAGTTGCATTTACACAGTTGTTGCAACTTCCTGCTTTATGTCATGATCCTGCCCCGTCTGCTTCCGGGACCCTGCTTTTATTTTGATACCACTTCCTGTCACCAGCTCATCCACAACCCCGGTAACTTCATCTCATCATGCACATTGGTTTCACCTGCCCCTAATCACCCACACCTGTTCACCACAGCATATTGCAGCTCCTCCCACTGTTGTTCTATGCCTTGTCTAGACTCTCCAGCATTTTCCTCTGACTGCTTTCCTGGCACCGAACCCTTGCCTGCTCTAACGACCTGTGATCTAGCCTGTCTGACTGCCAACCTGAGATCGACACCCTGCCTGTTCAACTAACCTGTGATTCTGCCTTG